GTGTGTGTGTGTGTGTGTGTGTGTGTGTGTGTGTGTGTGTGTGTGTGTGTGTGTGTACCCATGTACACAAGAATGAAATATTTCTATCCTCATAGTAAACTTGCAGCTGCCAGGCCCTAACCCATTGCATTACATGAATAACCATTTCAATACCCTTGGCTTTTCCAGTTCCTACGTTTAAAATCAATCTTTTCAATTCAATCTTAGTTAACATTCTAAAATGGTTTATAAGAAGATGAACCAGTTTTAAACAGTATGTATGCTTTAGAATGGCTAAATAATTGCAATGAGAAAAAATTATTACAGCATTTTTGATACTCCACCTAATTATCACTTCTGGACTATTTTCATAAAAAATGAATATCATATTTTATTAATGTTACGCTTCTAATTGCATTCATACATTAGTAATTACAAATTTTAACTTGTATTCATTAGATTGGAAAGGTTGAGAGAATTGCTGATGATTGAAGCTGTTTCATGGGACTGTGGAAGTAACAGTCCAGGTGAAAATCATAGAGAAAAACTACAAAAATACTATTTAATTGTTGTGTTTATTTCTCAAAATACTTTTTGCATAAAATATGCATAGTGTACTGTCATTATGGGAACACCCCTTAGAAAACTCATGACTGAATTACTAGTTCAGTTGGTGCATTTGCTTTTCTAGGGTGACATAATTTTTATATTTTAATATTGAGAATTTTCTTCCTACTGATTAATAGAGTGAGACATTAGAAACCATGGCTGCATACATTAAAAAGCTCTATCATTGCTGATCTGTAAAAGAGAATAATCATCAAGAGTTCAATTTTGCTAGTTTCACTTATGTTGAATAGTATACTACAGATACCTTCACTGAGGTCATTAAGACCTCTTACAGCAGGGCTGCCCAACTTCGTAGCAGCTGGGGCCCACATGCTGGACTGGCTACAAGCCCTGGTCCGCATACCATGAGGACAGCATCCATGGAGGCCACATGCTTCAGTGCTCCCTGGGACCCCACCATATGTCCAGATGCCGCTACATCATGCATACTGCATGAGCCACTCCCAATCTGCTGTTAGCTAGACATTACAAGGCCCCCTAGCTAACTGTCCACCACAGCTTGGATAGTGCAAGCCCCCCCACCAGTGTACAGTACTAGTGCCGAGATGGTGTAAGCCTCCATTTCCCCTGCTATCACATGAGCAGTAGGTTCACCAGGCTTTCTCCCACCATGCTGCCCTACTCTAGAGATCCTGGCCACTGCATCATCAGGAGTAATGGGGGAGTGGCAGTCAGGCACAAGCCAAGGTGTTCCACATTACACCACATAAGCTGGATGTGTCCCATGGGTGGCCATTTGGACAGACCTGACTTATAGTACAGTACTACTCATAATGAGCAAGTATTATGCCAGTGTATCTTTATTATGCATAAAATATCTTCTTGAACCAGCAGATAAATACTGGGAAAAATACAGTGGAAATGTTATTGCAAATAAAGTCTTTTTTCTCCTCATAATATTAACAACAGCATGACCTTAAACTAGTAAGATTCCACCCCTCCATCAGTAATTTTAGTTATTATCCACAGAAATAATGAATTAATTGTCTACCAGCCTTTCACAGTATTGCATGTCACCATCCCAGTGATAAAGGCTTTCCTGTGAATGTTCATGCTATACATCATACAGAGTAACAGGCTCATTTGAAACAGTAAGTGAAATTACAGATCAGTATTAAATAGGAAATACAAAATGAGCTTCTTGTAAAACTGTTTTATTTTAAGGTCAGCAAGTATATTCTACATGTATTGTAAAGTACTAGTCTATTACATATATTTACACAAATCTGCATGTGCAGATAACTACTTCCAGAGAGAAATAATATTAAATAAGTTCAAAAGGATATCAGGCATCTCACTACATTCTTCATTATATTAGATATGTGCAACTTTAATAATAAGTTTTAAATCTGCCACCTGCTTTTGCATAAGCTGACAAAATATGAAATTTGACTAATATTCATATAGTGATTATTGTTCTTCTTTGCATGACATGCATTCATCTCCTCAAGACCTAATGTATTCATTGTTAATACATTACATTTCTGTTGCATCTAAACTTTAAAAAATGGCTTTAAAACATTAGTGAAATAAGCTGCCTAAAAGCCCTATGAGTAAAAGAAATATTATTAAGCCAATCTTACTAACGGAAAAACAAAGCCCCAGAAAGATCTAGTACACTTTTCAAGATCACCTTAGAGTTAGACTCTATGTTGCTTTTGGGCTTTGGTCAAAAGATCAGCCTTCCTCTTGGAATTAAGGACTGGCATTCCATCTATTCTAGCTTGATTCCTCAGAACTCTTCCTCACTTTATTTTTTATTAACAAACACAAAACTGTAATAACCACAAACACCATATTTCTAGAGCAGAAAAAAATAATTAAATTTGTGATCCAAATGTTAAAGATATGATAACCTTTAAAGTTAGTGTGTATAAAACCCAAATGAGGAAAACAAAAGCAAAGAAAATGTTATCGTCTCTAGCACCTTTAAAATTGGAAGTAAATTGGAATGAATAGGAAGTGTGTTCTCACAGTAGTACTCTAACAGTCTTACAAGTACTGTTGAGTTATACTACACTGGTATTCAAGTTTTCCAGTTGGCAAACTAAGACATATAAAAGAGGGTGTTTTAGAGAAGTGCATGATTTTATGGCAGTAACAATACTAATCCCAGCCTTTAACTTCAAACAATGGAAAAAGTAAAAATGAACACAAATGTGACTTCAAATGCCAGTCAACAATGCAATTATAATTATGCCAAGGAATTCCATTGCAACATAGGGTTCTTAAATAGGTATGCTGGGCAGGAATAGGAAAAGGCAGTGCAGGATGATAACTTCATAGACTGTTTCAGAGAGCCTTATACTTTTGTAGAGAAGCTACTTCATTAGGTACTATAAAACTGGGCAGGAATGAGAAGTGACGGTACATTATACCAAATGGCCCACATTCAAATGATTGTTTTATCTTGATGTCTTTCATTGTTAAACCTTCTCTACTTTATATTTCTTTAAGCAGATGACAGGGTAGAGTGGTACCTTACAGAATAATTCAGAGGCATAAGCTTTCTTAAACAACAGTTTACTTTTTCAGATGTTATGAATCCTTGCTATGAGTCCTTCTCCTTGCAGGGAGAAGGAGTTCTAAATAATAAATAATAAATAATAAATTACTGTTTTCTGTTTAGAACCCTGGCTCCCTTCTTGTTCAGTCATAGCATTTGAATAAGCAAGCTGTTGCTTACAAAAGTGTACGCCTCTAAATTAGCCTGTGGTGTCACTCTGCCCTGCCATGTGCCAGAAGACACATAAGGTAGATGAGGAGTAACAGTGAAAGACATCAAGGCAAACACGTCCCAGCACACCTGATTAGGGGAGCCTAACTACAGTATATATTGTCCCTTTGGAGATCTCCCTGAAAAGCTGATGCAATATAAGTCTCCTGCCTGTCAGTGGTCTTTGAGGTGCTATCCTAATGAAAGTCGCAAGTGTGCTTCAGAGTCACTTGTCTGTGTGGGTGTACTGCAGAAATGGAAATCCCCACTGGGAGCTCCAGAATGTGTTTTGTCACAGGTGGAATATGTCTGCTGGAACGGCTTGGCTCTTGGGCTACAAACTGATACTTCCCTTAAAGAACAGGCAGCTTAATAAGTAAATGTTAAAAATCATAGTTATTTATATTACTTCATACAGTTGGAGGAGAATATAGAACCCCATGCTTGGCAGTAACATCGTACATAGTTTATGTTGACAATCTAAAACATGCAGTTAGTCATGCAGCCTATGTTAGCCCAGGTTATAGGGGGTTAAAAAGTTCCAGTGCCATGCTGTGATAAGGAAGAGAGGTAAGACCCTGTGCATGGCAATCGCACTGGTACAGAGTTGTAAGGTGGCAAGACATTCCTAAGCAATGGTTTTAGCATGTGGTGTACAATTGCTGGGGTGGGGAAAAAGTCAAAGACATTAAACGCCATTGTTGGTTAATGGTGTGTGAACTCTGCTCAGCTAGCAAACTCTGTGGCTGGTTTGGGAAGAGGGCAGGGCCATTAGTACTGTTAATGGCACTAATAAGGACAATAATTTTAGTTTGGAAAACAGGGGACCAAGACCTATCTGTTTCCTTCAAAGGAAACATTTTAAACTACCCTTATATTTCCATATATATATAAGCATTTCCATATATAAGGCTTATTTACATTCTGACTCCACTGTTGAGCCTTAGTATGGTAAAATGTTATAAATTGAAAAGTTTGTCTATGTTTATCTGAGGATTTCCTTCAAGTAATGAGGTCCACAAATATGCTACAATGAGTACTTGCAGACTAGGGGCAGCACTGGACCTCTGTCAGCTATCATTGTCTCCCTTTCCAAGTTTTTTTCCTCAGTTAGAATACCTTCCACAACAAAGAGAACTGAAATCTACTTTTTTGAAAAGGAAAATTCTGTTGTGTACATTTTGAAGAAATGTGAAACATTTTCTCTTATTGAACAACACGGTAAATTCTGCCAAATCCTTGGATGTGAATGTTCATCTCTGTTCTGGGTAATGCTTTTTTTCTCCTGGGTTGGCTGGATTGATAGACCTTATTATTAATGAAATAAAATTGTCAAATAATATAAATACATTTTCTTCTGCTTCATGCTAAGGCCCACAGTGCTGTTAAAATTGGATTTTCACAGCAGTTTGATTGTTGTAGGAAGCAGGTTCTGCCTTTAAATATAGACATCCGAATGAGGTAGACAATAAATAAATATGTCCTACACACCTTCCCACAGATACTAAGTCATAGAAAATATTTCTGTAACAACAATATGAATAGCACCAGCTGAGACTGGAAAGTCTTAATGTAGAAATTGGGGAACTAATGGATATCTAGCAGATTTCCATACAGGAAGCAGGCCTATATTTCCCTGAAATTGTCAGTGTTTCTAAACTATACTGTAACTGTTGAGGTGCGGGAAAGGAGGGTGGGGGACAGTGATTAGGACAGCAGTCCTGGGTGCTGCCTTTGTTGAGGAGGTATAAGAATAACCACCAGTGATTGTTAATCTGCCATGATGAGCACCATGGAAGCTTATGCTGCCCCATGTACCTCAACTGCCCAACACAGAGAGCTACCCTGCTACACCCCTGCTTCTAAGGACTGGACTTTGAAGCTGAACTGAGGGATAAATATTTCTTGAATTTTGGGTGGGAATAAGTGCTCTGACACTGGCAAAAACCTGTTTCAATTAAAACTGCCATCCAGGATCTCATTAAAGAAAGTTCTGAGTCTTAGCTTAAACAAATGTTACTGATTGAAAGTAGCAACCATCAGGAGTTCTGGCCTAATGGACAGGAAATGTAATATCTTATGCAGGGAGTCAAGCTAGGCAGCACTATAAAGTTCAGAAAGAGATTCGAAGGTAACAAACTATGACCTTCTGGCCTTGGAATATCTTTTTTATATAAGGGCCCTTCCATTGTTAAGAATTGTGCAAAACTTTCTATTGACCATGTTGAGAAGATTATGTTAAAGGAACTTGACCTTTTTTTTCTTGGACAGCTGTATATGCCCACAATAAAGCCTTCCCAAAGGAACGCAAGGCAATTTTGCATTGATTTGACATGTTAGTTAAACTAACTGGCTTTGCATCAGTCAGTAGAAAAAGTTCCAGTTGTTGAGTTCTCTTTTAGGATCTATTAAAGCACTAATCATGTCATCCATGTAATCATTGTAAAACTATCTGTTCCCAAAGGGAGAATTGGCCTTGCAATAGCATACCTCTTCTGTCTCCTCTGTCTGGAGACCATAACAATTTAAAAAAGAAAAAAAGAAAGAAAGAAAGAAAAATACAGAAGGTGATTTCCTTGCAGGAAACCTTTCCTATGCGGAGCCTCTGACTTTAATGGGAATGATCATATAAATGATGATTATTCACATAAGAATGAATTTAAATAATTTGATTTTGATTATGTGTCAGCTTTATAGTATCAGTCTGAGTGTATAAACACAACTAACATTATTGAGAATGGGACTACTAAAGTGTATAGAGATTCACTAGTGTGAATACAGACTGCACTGGAAGGTCATTTATATTCTTTTTCTTTATGAAGCACCCCTTCCCCCTTCACCTTCTCTATTCTCTTTCATATCTTTTCTTTGAAACCTTTTTGCTCCAGTCTTGTGACATGAATCTGATATTTGCTCAAATTCTCACATAAATTTAATGCAATTTTTTTTAAAGGCACAATACCTACTTTAGGGCCAAGTTTTCAAAAAATCTTTGAGTAGAGTGGGAATGGGTATCTTCCTACAAACTGGCCAAAAGGGCTTAGGTAAAAGCTGTTGGATGCTAAATGATTTTGAAAAGCTGATACTTAATTAGGCATCATCTGCATATGAAAGTTAATTCAGGGTGAGATTACACATTACAATTAGAACATGTTAAGAGCACTTAAAACGTGAATAATCACACGTTAAGTTTCATTAACTAATTCTAAGTGCCCTTTATGCATCTTAAATTTATGCCAGTTTGGGGCAGGATTATTTTTGAGCTGGGGCACCTAGCCTGAGTTAAGTTAACTTCTGGGTATTCACCTGAGATAAAACCACCAACTGTCAGTCCTCCAGCATCCCAGGAGACACTGATTCCAAGTAGACATGATTCAGGATTCTGTAGCTGTAGACTAAAAGCTGGGAATAGCTGGATGAGAGAATGAGGTGAGTGGGGAGGGAGGGAAAAGGGGTGAAGGGGGATAGGGATCCAGGGGGAGGGGGCCATGGGGAAGAAGTGAGGAGGGCAGAATTGGAGGGGGGAAGAATGACAGAGTAGAGGGAAAGGTAGGGAGTGAATCGGTGGGAGCTGCCAAGCTGCTGCCCCACAATGTTTCCTTCCTGTTTTCCTCCTTACTGCCAGGTCACTCCTCTACTATCCCAATTGCCCCCTTATGCCCCTCATCAGGCCTTTCACCACCGGATCACTGTCTGGTAGCCCTGATTAGACTGAGAGTGAGTGGGGTGCCAGTGGGGGGGTTCTCCCTCCATGCCTGCTCCTGGGGTCCCTGAAAACCATGCCACCCCAGTATGCTCAGATCCAGACTGTGCAACTGAAATGATGGCCAGAGGGAAAGTGATGGGGGTGGGGCAGGGAGCTTCCAGGCAACTGCAGGTCCCAGTAGGAGCTGTGTACAGATATGCAGGGCCAGCACAGCCTGGAAACAGAGGTAGTATGGCCCTGATAATTATAGACAAGAGGCTGAATGGGGGCTGAATGGAGGCTGAATGGGGGCTGAATGGAGGCTGAAAGGAGGCAGTGGGGTGATTTGAGGCCCAGAGGGAGTGATCCAAGTGGCACGGGGGGAGGGGTCCTTCCCACAACTCATTCCTGGCCTATGCTTTAGCTAGAGAGCCAACAAAAAGGCCAAGCATGGAGCAAAGTTGCAGCCCCTAGCGCTCCAGCCCTTTAGTGGTATGTCTGAATATTACTCATTAGAGGGGGTATTAATCATAAACATTTAATTGATCACTAGCAATGTTTAACCTAAACACAGACAACCATTCCTTAGAATTAGCACTTGCTAACACAAATGTGCAATTTCATGCTCAGATCAAAATAGGATGTAAAGTTAGAATACAATGGGCACATGTATTTACGTGCATCTAAATTTAATGCATATTCAACTAATGCGCATTAAGCATTTTTTGGCAGCTGTCTACATGCGTAGGGACTTGACACTACTGTTAGTGCCAAGTCCCTGCAGCTCTGCCATGTGCCCCTAGTGGATGGGCAGACCTAGCATTTAAGTTAGTTCCTGGTCATGTCTACACATGTGTTAATGTGCTTTAAATAATTGTGTCTAACAGCTATCAAATTGAGGTGTGATTAGCCTAATTTCCCCATTTTAATGTATATTAAGAGTGTGCACGTGTAGACGTGCATCCGTAATGTGCATTAAATTAAGCTAATGCTCATTAATGTGTCTTGTGTAGATGTACCCAAACATGCTTAATTCCATGAATAATTGCATATGGGTCTAGGTTGACATATATCCTTTACAGCTCCACACATTTAAGTGCATGTAGCACTTCCTGTTTGAAATTTATTTTCATCTGTGGTGAAATAAGAGTTGTCCTGTAAATGTACCTCTGATGGATAAAATGGAGAAAGAATACTCTCTCCTATGCTTGCCCAAAAACCTAGTGTTTGGGCAGTTGCTGAGGAAAAAGGAGACCCCTGGGTTCTAGCCTGTCCTTTCATCAAGGTTTCTTCAAGGCAGAGGAGGTTGCTCCATGTGGCTAGTTTGCATGAAACCTGACACCATTTTTTCTCTCTCCCCCTCATTGATTCTTTCCATCTCCTTCCATACCCCACCTCTACCCACTCCTCCATTCCTCTGCTTTTCACTCATTTCTCTTCTGTACCTTCTGTCCCTTCCCTTCTTCCCTTTCCCTCTCTTATCTCATCTCCCTCTTGCTCTCTTCTATTATCTGTTCTTAACTTCCCTCTATCTGTCCTCTTACCACCTTTCTGGCCCCTTCCCTTTCTATTCTTTGCCCCTCCCAGGCAGAATATCTCCAAGGCCCAACCTGGCAATCTGGATTTGCACCGCCTCTCCTGACCAAGGTGGTGTGCAGCACGGGATGGGCTGATAAGCCCCTGCAGTACCAAGCAACGGTGCCCCAGAGCCTGAAGAGCAACCTGCAGGAGTGGGGCATAACAGAAGAGGCCCAAATGGCAGTCATCTATGCCCAGATCAAGTAGAAGGTCAAGGCTGTCTTGAGGGCTTACATGGAAACAGGCAGAGTTGTCAGCGGAACAATATTTGAGGGGGGTGGGGCACAAGGCCCAGACTGATGTGATCGGTGTGGATTTTCTGCTGACCTTAGGTACTGCAGTTGGTGGCCCTGGAGATAAACTGCCAGATGTGCCTGGAGACCTGCACTCTCTTCAAGTCCATGGGCCAGACAGTGGGGATGCCAAGAGGTGACTTGTCCCAGCCTCTGATAGAGATGATGCTGTGGTATACATAGTGCTGCCTAATGGTGGGGCAAGCATATGCTGGTGATTGGGACTGGAGGAGTCAGCAAAAATTTAATCTGGGAGACAGCCAGAGATTACAGGCTAAAAATCCATCTGGTGGGATTGGACGCCAACCACTTTGCCTCCCAGCTGGTACAGACCTTCATCCACAATGATAGCATGGACCATGAGTGGGACAAGTAACATGCCCAGTGTGTGGTGCTGCCTCTTCTACTGGTTTGACTGCATGGTGCTGATGGCTCTAGTGTGCAAGCAGCTAGGGTTGTGCTGCAGCTTGACAAGCTGCCATATGGGTGCCCAAGCAAAAGAGCCACACCCACCAGCATCTACTGTGCCAATGTAAAGACATATGCTCAGACTGGCCCTCCACTACCCTCTATACCATCCCCTGCTGGTATCTGGAGTGCCAGGCCAATGTGGAGTGATCTGTCCACCACCTCTCCTTCCTAGGTGTCATGAAGCTGAAGCATGGGTGGGTGCCATGGGCATCAAGTTGGTGAAGGATAGGCCTGTGTGAAGCAGCTAGTATTTGATTTGGATTCGGCCAATTTGGGGGACAGTGATTCAATTCAGTGATTTAAATCACTGGCCTGAATCAATTCAGCTGAATCTCTTAATCAGCCAGGCCCATTCCCTGCCCCTCTCCCAGCCCAGCAATGGCTGTCACGCCCTCCACAGCTCCTGGCACTTGGGAAAAAAAAGCCCCAACTCAGCGGGTGCTGCCAGGTGGGGGGCAATCCCTGCTTCCCCTCACTGTTCCATGCTGCATGGGGTATTCTGCACAAGCCCCCTGCACAGCCCCCCATGGCTGCTCTGCCCAGCCCAGTTCCAGCCCTTTAAGAAAAAAAACATGAGAAAAACCTTGCACTCACCATTCCTGATGGTGGGGGGTGAGCCCTGTGCTGCATGGGGGGCTCTTCCATGAGCCCCCTGAAGCCCCAAGACCACTGCAGCGGCCGTGAGACCCGGGGTTTTCCTCATTTTTATTCTTAAAGGGTCAGAGCCGGGGTGGGCAGGGCAGCGATGGCGGGGATGGGAAGTGGGGGGGGGTCAGGGGGCTCATGTCACAGTCTCCCATGCAGCATGAGGCAGTGGGAGGCAGGAGGGATTCCCCCACACACACACCTGGCAGCACCCAGTGAATCCGGGGTTTTTTTAAAAGCACCAGGGGCTGGGGCAGATGGGGGATGGGGGAGTGGTCAGGGATCAGGGGGGCTGGAGGAACAGGCAGGGGTGGGGTC